CTTTCCAACAACAAGCATTAAGAAAGTAATTTCATCCTTGGTCTTGGATTTCTTAAAAGCAAACTCCTTTTGCTTATTTTCTATGGGATATTACTACCAGTTTTTGATGAACTGTAAGAATCCATACATTAAGAATTATTTCAATGAGAATAATGTTGAACAGAAAACTACAATATGGAAGCTACTTAGCAAAAGTCACTAATGAAATACATAATTCAATCATTTTCATATTAGGAACATAATTGTCTAAATTCATAAGAATAATGTCAATTTCATTTAATTCTAATAGAAAAATGAGTTTTCCATAAACTTCCTTGACATTAAACTAATTGTTCTATAGAGAATCTCACTTATTTTAATTACAAATGCCCTTTTTCTATGTGAAATGATAAACTCACATCTAATTTCATGGAAAATATTTATAAAAATACTGATAATAATCAGTTGCTCAGAAAGAGTCTCAGAGCTTTTATTCCTAACCCCAGTAAATATTTTCAAACTTAATCAAGGTCAACAACAATAGTTCCTTCACCTCTGATCCACAGTTTCTTAATTGTTAGCTTTCAAGACCTAATTTAAAATAAATTGAGGAAATAGGGTTTTAAATATCTTCTAATTCATTTTGGCTTTTCATTTTAATGAGCATTCTAGCAAGTCACTTTAACATCCTGCAAACTTATATTACATATGTAATTCAATTTACTCTTGGACAATAAAAATGGACTGGACAGAAATTATATGAGTATTAATATTTTGCATTGAATATTGTTTAGTATGTTTTCAACAATATATGAAAAATATGCCAGTCTTTCCTTCCATTCATTTGATCATTTCAACCTCCTTCAGTACTGATATGCAAAATAATAATAATTCACATCTAATTATGATGAAAATTTATATTTATGATCATGATCATACATTTCCTATACTTATAACTAAAATATATTTCATATTTCCATACATAGTACATATTTTTTCTCATTTCATCACATTAAAACCAATTATAGAAGTTAATGAAAAGTTTATAAATGTCAGGAGTATGTGGAGAAATTTTGACAAGGTCCAGTTTATAAAACAGCCTTTATGACATTACATGTTCTGTCTCTATTTCCTGTCTTCCTGCATGTCTTTTTCTTTTATGCCAAGTTGGAAAAATCCCTTTGCCTGTATAAACATCAGTTTTCTTGTTTATGAAGTAAACAGGCTTGACAAAATACTAATGAAAATATCTTCCTATTTATGTTTAGTAATTCTATTTTTGTTTAGGAAAATATGTACTCCATTAGAATTCAGGAAATCAAAGCAAATATTTAAACTAGATTTATAGAATAAATTTATGAAATATGAAACTTTTTAGTTAATATTGGCTAACTTATGTAATGGTAAAAATAATCATAGTGGCTCTACAAACACTGTTATCTATTGCCTGTTCACATAAAGTTTGACACAGGTCCAGATGATTCCCTAGGGCCATTGTGCTCCAAGAACCTAGTTACTTTGATCTTCAACTCCAAAATCTCAACATGAAGTGCTTTTCCTGGTGCCACAGCACAATAATAGAGCCCTTTAGCATTTCACACCAGCAATTACATGCTTGGGCCAGAAGTGACCACATGCCTTACTCTCATCATCCATAATCCAGTTACTTTATAAAGGATGAGGAGGTATTCCTGAAAATAGAGGTTTTGCCTGGACACGAGAAGTCTCCATAACAAATCACGTTATTATTTCACTTTCACAGGTAAAAGAAAGTAGAATCAGAAAAACTAGTAAGCTGTTCAAGGTTGGACAGTGACTTAATAAAAAATAACTTTTTTAATAAAAGATAATTTTGAAAGATAAGCATTTTTAAACCTTAATTAAACCTCAAATATTTATATGTAGCTATATACATTAAATTAAATATATAGCTCTTTATATATAATTTCACCTAATAAGAATCACATTCCCAGGATGTGAAAATTCTGGGAAAGTGATATGCTTTCAAAAAATTTGATTACTCTCTATTCTGTGTGAATGGGAACAAAGCTTAAAAATTTCTACATGGTCATTTAAATGGTGATTTAAATCAATGTACATGTATATAAGTGACAAATTTATTTATTTATTTTTTTATTAGTGTCTCTGGTAGCTCTTGATGACAGTTTTGGAAATGATTCACAGCAGGCTGACTTTGACTGAAACTTCATATCTGTAGTAAATTTTTATCAGTCATTGCTCTGGGGAAAAGAAATAAAGATGGAGCACTCAAACTGGATAAATCAAAAAGAGTTCGATAGTGAGATTATTTACATTGTAATAACAGGCTTATAGGCATTAAACAAAGAAAATCAAATAACCAGTGGCTAGTAGAGAGCTGTTACTAGCCTTAGTTAACTGTTACTAGTTACTAATTAGTGTGCAAGGGAAGACAGCAGCTATTGGGACTTGAAGGTTTGCGCCGGGAATGGCCAACAATCCCTGTACCGACGGATGAGAGATGACTCCAAACTCTGCTGCGAAAGAGAGAAGAAGGCAAGTGGGTCAAGACTCAGAGACAAAGACCCTTTGCTCTTCTTTGCTCCCGCTTTTATTGGTCCTTCAGGATATCCTTATCACTGTTTCTTAAGCACGTGATGTGTCACAAGGGGTCTTACTGAAACTGAGGGGAATAAATAGAGAGAGATAAAATGCTAATCTGAGTGTTCTGCTAAACAGAGCCTAGGGACAATCACAGGGCAGCTGTTTGGGCTAAGAGAGCTTCGGGGAAGGTAACTCCCCCCAAGCATTCCAACGGCAGAGTGCTCACGCAGGCCCATGCCCTTCTCTGAAACCCTCCCTCACCCCCAGTGGCCTCTGTGTTACATTTTAGCAAGCCAGGTATTATGGCTGATTTCATGCTCTACATTAACCCCAAGAGGTTTGAACGGAAAGATCCATTCCGTAGTAGTCAATATGCTACCGGTCACTATTCAGAAGGGAGGAAACTGGGAAAATGGATATCCTCGAGGATATCCAGCCCTGCCTTTCTCTCCTGAGGCTGATTGGTCCTGATGCCCCAAGTTCAGATCCTTTCGGGTTAATATCCTCACAGGGTAAATCAATTTTTGTCTGTCCAGTAAAAAGGCATGTTGCTTGACTGCACTGCCCTAGGGAGGGCATTTGATTATCTAACTATTCATTAAGCAAAATTTCAACTAATTTTATTATTTTCAGTCCTACCATCCCCTTCAGAAGTCTCTGATAGCTATCAAAGCAGAACTAAGACAACAATATCAATTAATTTCTTTTTAGACATGCATATGTTAAATTTCTAATTTGTATACAAGGGAATATGCATGTTTGCTTTTGTCTAGTACATAAGGGCATATTTTTAAATTCCTCAAGAGACCTCCAAAAATGGTTAGTAAAGCAAGAGAGCCACAGGGATTATGCTGCATAATTAAGACTGCTTAGATGTGGAGCTAGATCACTGGGCTAAAAATCCTGGCTCCCTCACTAATTAGTTGTGTGAATAGGAGTAACTGCTTAGATTCTCTGAGTCTCAGTTTTCACATGTGAAAGTGGAATTAACCTATAATTTACAGTGATATTGCATGTGACATTCAGTACAGTGCCTGGAACACTAAATTTGCCATTACTGTATTAATAACTAGATTTATTTTGTTTTGCTGTATTTCATATTGGATCATCTGCAGAAAAAAAGATCACTGGGCACCAGGAATGAATTCCAGGAAGGGGAGCAGAATTGTTGTAGAGGCAACATTCTAAAGACGTTTGTATTACTTTCTTGTTGTTGCTGTAACAAATTACCACAAATTTAGTGGCTTAAAATAACATGAAATTTTTATCCTCATAGTTCTGGAGATCAAAAGTATGAAATGCTTTTCACTGTGCTAAAATTAAGGACCTCGATTTTAGGTGTTTGCCTTCCTTCTGGAGATTCTAGGAGAGAGTCCGTGAGAGAGTCATTTCCTTTCTTTTCCCAGCTTCTGGAGGCCACCTGCATTGATTGGCTTTGGCATTTCTTCAAAGCTATCAGTGTGGCACCTTTCATTCTCTCTCTGACTCTGATCCCTCGGTCCCTTCCTTGAATTAAAAGGAATTTTGTCCTTATACTCACCCTACCCAGATAATCCACCATAATCTCCCCTTCTCAATAACCTTAATTTAATCACATCTACAAAATTCCCCTTGCCATGTAAGATAACAAATTTACAGGTTCTGGGGACTGGGACATGGACACCTTCAGGTGGCCTTTATTCTGCCCACCATACTTCAGTCAAACACTGATCTACCTACTGCTGTAAATGCTCCTCAGATGCAATTAAGACTAATAATCAGCTGAACATAAAATATGGATATAATTTTGGATTACCTTGGATATTGCTAATTTTGCCTATTCATAATTACTTATTTTCAATTGCCCTTTAAACCATATTAATATATGTGGGATTTTACACAATAGACATCAAATAATTTCTCTATATTTGCTCATGTCTTCCTAAGACTAATGAGAAATACACACACACACAATACACATCAATACCTTTATATATATATATAAATTTAATTTTGACAGAGAATTAACAGAACATTTAAGAATAGATTTTAGTTCCAGTTTGGCTAAGTCTTTCTTGAAAATAATTCTGAGGATATCCCTGTACCAATGAAAGACAATCTTCCTCGTAATTGTACAAGTTAGCTGACTACAGTGCTTCTCAAAATCCATAAAAGTTATGAAACTGTGTGGGGATAACTGTATTAATTATATCAATAGTTCCCTCCTCCCCTACCAACCATACCTCCCCACTACAGCAAATTCTTCTCATGGAGAGATGACACTCTTCCGGGATTCCTTGAAGGGAGTATAAATACATTCCTGGACTAAACACATGTAGATTTGGAAATTACATGACATTTCTCCACAAATTATAGAGAGTATATTTTATAATTTATTTGCCATAACCTTAAATGAATATAAATGTTTGGAGTTAATACCTTCTTTATACCATTTATACCCCTTTGGTCAGTTTCGAATGAGGACAGCTTCGTTCTTCCGCTTCTCAGGTACAACTGCTCAGCCAGGGCCGCTGCAGCAGCAACAATGCAGCCCGGCTTAGTAATACAAGCAGTCTCACCACCTACGATCACGCCACCCGCAGCGACAACCAACACAACCAACATGGAAAGCAGTCAGGAAACTAACAGAATTCCCAATTTCTTTTAACAAAGTTGAATGATTCTAAAATGTCTGAAACAGAGGACCAGTGCACAGAAAGTGAGCGTGCAGACCGCAGGGCGGTGGTCCGAGTGCTCCTCTGTCCACTTCCACCAGGAAAAGAGACCTGGTCGTCAGAGGAAGATGAATGCAGAGACATGGTAGATTTGGGTGCTCCGAGCTGTGAAGATTTTGTACCTTTAGATGTTGCTTTAGAAAACCTACATTTAAAAGAGTCATCAAGGCAATGAACCTCCACCACCTTGACTTTGATGACATCCGGATTCACAAGGTCATCTATGCTGTATTTGCCGATGAAAGTGGGGAACAACTATCTTGGGTTCGTTTGGAGGTTGTAATTTCAGGTCTGTCACTCTTGTTACATTGTCTTCATTCAAAAGAAAGAGAGAAGATATATACAATAATCATTTTCACTTAACTAATTTTTATTTCTAGCAGGTGAATGTAGGTAGTAGTGCAGGGATGATCTCTGCTTCTTCTACCTTGACATGCAAAAGGCTTTCCTGACACTCCACCTTTGAACAGAAGAGGAAAACTGAAATCTCTGATGAGGCTGTTGTATTTATAAATATTAATGAATAAAAACTGCTTGGATGGTTTACCTAAAACATATATACATTTGTCCCACCAAATTTAGGATTTGTAAATTATAAAGTACCCACTATACATTTTACCAACCGTCTATGTGTATACCTTGAAATAGGAAATCAGGGAAAGATGAATCAATAAATTTACATGCAATTTTTATTATGTAGCTCTGATGGCAGTATCATTTTCCGGCTACATGTCTTTGTAAAATCGGCTTTAATTATTATATTTTGCTTATATATTTTAATAATTTCTTTATGTTTTAAAGAAATTTTAGAGTCGTGGCAAAGCTGAACAGAGAGTAGAGAGTTCTTATATACCATCTCTCCCACACATGCACAGCCTCCCTCACCATCAACATCCTACATACGAGTGGAACATTTGTTAACAATCAGTGAACTAACAATGTCACACCATTACCACCCAAAGTCCATAATTTACATTAGGGTGTTGTACTTTCTATGGGCTTTGACTAATGCATAGTGACGTCTGTCCACCAGTATAGTATCATAAAAAACAGTTTCATTGACCTCAAAATTCCCTGTGCTCTACTGATTCTTCCCTCCTCTCACCAAAGTCTGGGCAACCACTGGTCTTTTTACTGTTTCAGTGGGTCTATTTTTACTATGGAAACAGTAAAAAGATTAGTATTTATGTAGTTGCAGTCATTAGTATGTAGCCTTTTAAGACGGACTTCTTTTGTTTAGTAATAGACATTTAAATTTCTTCCATGTCTTTTCCTGGCTTGATGGCTCATTTCTTTTTAGTGGATAGATACACCAGAATAAACACATGGACTTCTATTAACTTTCAGTGAGATATAAAGTAGTCTAATATTTGCCTTTATCAGTTTTAAAGTCTTTCTATGTTTGTTTTTGCTCTCTGATATTCTGTTAAGAATATTGATAAAAAAATTTTGAATCAGGTTATGAGTGATTTTAGATTTGACTGGTTAGTGAAACCATAATTTAGTAAATGCTTTAGTAAATGTTTTAAAGCATCTGCTTATTCCTATTAGTAATATAAGTATACTGCTTGTATAAAGTTTTCTCATTTAAATGATTTTTTGCATTATCATGATATGGATTGCTATTCTGAGAGTTTTTGATTATTCTTCTTTAAAATTGTATCTGCCACATAACAAATAGAGTATTTTAAATTAATCTTGTGTTGTCTATTAAGCATTAATTCCACTTTTAATTCCTATTATGTGTACCAAAGTGTCACTAAGACTGTTGTGTTTATATTTCCTAGATTTGAAATCTTTTTGTCCAATCTTTTTGGACAAGATGTATTATAGACTGTTGGTGTCTTGATCATCTGAAGACTTCATTTGAACTTTTAAAGTAAAGACTCAGTACAACAGTTTTCTTAACCCTAGTTCATATTCTCTAAACGTTATATACATATATAAAATATATAATAAATACATACTATATATTATATATAGATTATTTGAAAACATAATTCTTGAATCTCAAAGAATTTAGCGAACATTAATTCACCTTCCAACTAACCATTTGCATTGGATTATGTGTGAATTGTGATATTTTACAGCTAAAACCCAAGGGGCAAATAAATAATTTAATCATTCTTATATAATCAAGTATTCTCCTTCATTATGAATGACTATGGCTGGGTAGTTTTATTATAGGATGTTAAACCTCTGATACATCTCACTTGAGAGAAAGGAAACTTCCTCCATGAGAGTATTAGGAAGCACCCAAAGACAATGATGTTTTTCATCCCAGGCTCAGTTATTTGCAACTCATTTACAATTCTGTCTTTGTAAACCTTCACAAATTGATATATAGCATCTATTTAAGGAAAACTTATTAATGTAAAAGGGACCAACTTAGCTCTTGAATTTCAAACGTTATCTTAATTAAATTGGTGTTCTTGTACTACACGTGCCTGGGGGCCTGGGAAATAGATGAGTTCTGTAAATCAAAATATTAATAATGCACATGAATTTTAGTTTTTGAAATGTCTCTGGATCCCCAGATATAGTCAGAACTATCTTAGTTAGATAAACTATCTTGTGTTTTCATTAGGGTGCGTTTTTCCATTGATTGCCAACTTTTGGACATTGTTCACAATTGCACTGATCTTTCAATTTTGTTAGTTCACAATACTTATAATCAAGTGTTTCTTATAGTACAGAAGTTATCTAAAGCATATTTTACTATAAATGAGGTAAATATATATATGTCTATGTGTGTGTATAAATGTATATATAGGGGCAAATAGAATTCCTTCTCAAAGACTTGCAGGTTTTAAAATATTTAAATTCCTAGAAAGAGTGTATGGTACGGCTTTTAATCTTTAATATGGATTTTTGTGTTAAAACAATGATTGAAAGTAATTGGTTTCCAAATGAATATAGGTATTTATTCATTCTAATTATTTTTCTCCTTTTTCTTTCACATGAATGTCTCATTTGTCAGAACATATATTCCTTGATTAGTGTTCTTATATTTCATTCACTCAATGTCAAATATTAAAAATGTAAGGATTTCAGGATCATAGTGCTTTTTTATTATTTATATGCATGGTATTAACTGGATTACGGATATTTGTGATCTGTTAATTGAATTGCTAAATTATAAAGAATACTAAATATAGGAACACTTAGAGATACTGAGGCTAAATATATGTCTATTGCATGTGCAATGTATATGTAGATGCACATACTAGTTCTCTCTTTTCCACGAAATCTAATCAGAAGTTAGTTTACATAAGGTATTAAAGAAGACAGTGTATAAATGAATCTGAGTTTAAATTTCAGGTTATATATCACAATACTCATTTGATATTCTTCCAGTAAATATTCATTAAGTACGGATAATGGCATTGTGGTGTGGCTATGTAGGACACAAAGTCAGAAAATAAACTCTTCATGCCAATATGGAGATTATATTCTGGTAAGAAAAATGACTTTTCAAAAATTTAGTTAGTGTAAAGTAGATAGTATAAGAGTACAAGTGGATTGGATGATCAAAATTATAAGAGAACATTATCAGCTGAGGGACCAGAAAACCTTTATAAGCAGCATTTCACCTGGCCTTTGAAGAATAATTAAGATTGGAAATGTAGAGAAAAAGCAGACATTGGAACCGTTCAGTGCACAAAAAATAACTGGAATGAAAAAGACAGAAAGGCAGGACAGCGTAGAGCATATTCTGGGGAAATGAACTATTTTTTCAGTTTGATGGCCCATGAGGATCTGATTGATATCAAATAATTTTTAAAATTCACATAAAATTAAAAAGCTTAGATTTTATTCTCTATTCCATAATACCATACTGAATGCATTTACCTAAAAGTAATGTTTGATTCCTATTTAATGAATAGTAATATAATAACAATGTATAGCATACATAGTAGATTGATTTTAAAAATTGAATAAAATATTTATTTGTCATTGTCATCTTCATTATAGTGGATTATAAATTACCCAGTGAAAAAATGCTTTATTTTTTCTCTCTCTCTCACAGTCTCTCATTAAAAAAGAAAAAATCAGCTGTAGTTATTACACTAGGCTGAAAACTATATGGTTCAATAAATATGACAAATGAATGACCAGACTGGTTGATACTAAAAATCTTCTTGGGGATTTAAGTTTTATAATTTCTCTATCTAGTCAATGCATATTATGACAATTCAGAATTCCTTTTCAAGCAGTCAGTATGGCAGACCACCAGTCCATTTTTACTAAATTCTGTAAGCCAGATGACATTCCATATAGATTGCAGCTAGCAGTATGTGAATGACAAATCAGAATAGATTGCAACCAGTATGCCATCCCAGTTTCTAGTGGCTGATTCTCAGCATTTACATTAAGTTTGTTTGACTCACTATGGTTAATTATACCTCACCCATGCCATGTAAATAACTATAAAGTTGAAGGTTTGAGTTTAATTTTTCAATAAATAGGTATTTTGTTTATAAGTATATTATTTAAATATTTTTCATGATCAAGGTGAAAAACTTAATAGGTATGTATTAGATTTTACCTCCTGCCTGAAATATTTTATTTACTCATTAAAACTCCTTTCTTTCTTTTTAATCGAAACATGCAAGTTCATTTTTCTTTTTAAAAAGCAATCAGTGATTGAGTTTAGATAGTTACATCCTCTTGTAAAATAACAACATTTCAGTTGACAATAAAAAAGTAAATTAGTTTGTCTAATATATCTGATTCCCACTGCTGCAGCAATTTTCTAACATCTGCATCTATACATATTCATTAAATTTCTCTAATATTATAAAGCAAAAGGTTATCAACAAGCTTGGAAGAGTTGGAAAGAAACAGAGGTTACAAGATAATTACTGTACTTTACTTGGCTTTTGTAAA